AGTGAAAGAAGCCAGACCCAAAAGACTATTATATGATTTCACTTATATGATATTCTGGCAAAGGAAAAATTATAGGGATGGAAACCAGAGCAGTAGCTGCCAAGAGTTATGTAATGGGAGGATTTGACTGCAAAGGGACAAAACAAATAAATTGTGGGGATGAGGTAACTGTCCTGTATGGTGCTATGGCGGTAAATAGATGACTTTACACATTTGTCAAAACCTTAGAACTGTGTACCACAACGGAAGACTTTTGCTGTAAGCAGTTTTTTAAAAAGCAACCAGTTGTAAATGGAACACAAGATGGAATATGGAGTGTGACAAATAAATCTAACTGTGTTATACAGAATGACAGAACTTCACTGAAGTGGGTGGTGGAGAAAGGAGCTGACCTAAGTAACTTTGGAGAACAGTATTTTGAGTGGATAAAGGTTAAAACAGAAGATTATATAAAACATTGAAGTCTGGTCAATTTGTTCCTCAGAAGAGTGTGGATTAGATATTCTGAAACTACTTTAAATGTATACTAAGGTTGAGTAAATAAGTAAATATATTTTGGATATGAACAACAGGTTTCTCATTCAGAGAGAGAAGTTCTATTTAAGCAAAGACAAAATGCTAGAATCAATCTTGAAGAGCTGGATTGGATCAGAGGGATCACTATGCGTCATGTTGATTTTCAAGACAGATAGATACACAGATAGATGATAGCTAGATAGATAAATGTATATGTGTCTATATGCTAACTCACTGAGAGGACCAAGAAGTAACGACACCCCAATAGCAATGAACGCAACTAGTGTCCACATAGTGGTTTCTAAATACCATTCTCGAAAAGAACCAGGGTTCTGTGAAGAAGTCGTTGATTTCAAGACTAGGGCAGGGAAAATACAAAATAAGCCTGGAGCATCTTGTGTTGCCATAAAGTAATAAAGTGTTCAAAAAAAAAAGTTGGGGGCTGACCCCCCCCCCCCCGGTGGCCTAGTGGTTAAGTTCGCACGTTCCGCTGCAGGCAGCCCAGTGTTTCGTTGGTTCGAATCCTGGCACGGACATGGCACTGCTAGTCAGACCACGCTGAGGCAGCGTTCCATATGCCACAACTAGAAGGACCCACAACGAAGAATATACAACTATGTACTGGGGGGACTCTGGGGAGAAAAAGGAAAAAATAAAATCTTTAAAAAAAAAAAAGTTGAGGGCATGTCAAAATGACCCAAAAACCAACCTGAAAGAACTCCCAGTGGTCAAAGCTGGAAGAAACTTAGCAACAGGGGCTGGCCCCGTGGCCGAGTGGTTAAGTTCGCGCGCTCCGCTGCAGGCGGCCCAGTGTTTCGTTAGTTCGAATCCTGGGCGCGGACATGGCACTGCTCATCAGACCACGCTGAGGCAGCGTCCCACATGCCACAACTAGAAGAACCCACAACGAAGAATACACAACTATGTACCAGGGGGTTTTGGGGAGAAAAAGGAAAAAATAAAATCTTTAAAAAAAAAAAAAGAAACTTAGCAACAGAAGAAATAATGAGTACTAGTTTATAACTCAAGAATAAAGTAACTATCCATGATTCCATACTGATATAAATAAGTGATTAAATATATAAGTTAATGATAGATAAGAGACAGCTCTTTCTTACAGGAGAATCCAACTAATAAATGTAGAAGAAATAAAGGAAAATGAAAATGACTATTAGAACACCAGAATGATAATTGTTACAGGCAAGATCCACCAATTAATGCTAAAATTAGTGGGTGAAAGTTTACAGAGAATCAGGATATTTGCATAGTTTCAAAGTATTTCCCCTCAAATATTTATTACTACAAAATAAAAATAGTAATTTAAAGTAAAGCCTCAGACACCATCTTAACTGGATGATTAAGCCTAACTTCACCAGTAATAAGATATACTAATATCATATACTCCCTGATACGATGCCCTGAGAGGGTCTTCTCACCTCTATGATATTCTTCCCTAAAATGCATAACTCAAACTAATCGTGAGGAAACATCAGACAAGCTCAAATTGAGGGACTTTCCACAAAATACTTAACTAGTTTTAGAAAAAAGTTAGAGGGACTAGTGAGACCCTAAGAGAATTAGCTTTTAACTCTATCTTAGGCTAAAGGACTAAGAAATGAGTTATTTTTTTAGTTACAGAGATGACCGATAGAGGCACTGATACCATTGTCATTGGAAGGAGGTGAGAGAAGGAGACAGAGAGGGTTGTAGGTGGGCTGACTCTTCACCCATCCTAGCAGAAAGTCAGATAATGTCTGAGTTGGTAAAACAAGAAGCAATAGTATAGGCATGTCATTTCGATTCATGGCAACAACCTTCAGAAGACCTAAAGGCAGGAATAGTAAAAAGGGAGAACCCCAGAGAAACGGACTAGGGGAAGAGGAGGGTAGGTCAGGTGACTCGCTTCTTGTTAGAACACTAATTGTATTTTTTTAACCATGTGCATGAATTACCTAGATTATTTTTAAGAAAAATGTCTTTTTCCATAAAAATTGGGGACTACTATGTTTTCAAAAGATTCCAAACAAAATTTCTTTAAAATGAAATGTTCCCCATGTGTACAAAATGAGATTCACTTATAGAAGGAAAAAATAACTCATGCAAAGCTTTTTCAGAAACTTAGCTATTGCACAAAGTGAAGTACTCTGTCTTTCTGAGAGCATCTTTTTAATGATCGTATAGCTTTTGTTTTTACAACCGAAAAAAGAACAAAAGCAAAAATGATGTGGGAAATTGCTCCTTTTGTGCCTGAGTCCTCTAAATGTTTATTCAGTCAGCAGATGGTAGACCAGCTGTTGGATGATGGGCTCTGAAAATGACCTTGTTCCATTAAGTGGTAATAAGTTGACCATTCTAGAAATATGAGAATTTCCAGTCTAGAACTCTCGTGGAGAATGGTTTTGTATTTGCAGTGACAGCATATTGTTTCCATGCTTGCTAAAAATGCCATCCACTCTTTTCTGTACTTTCATAGAATATAAAATTAATGCATGTGCTTACTCATACACGTACACCATACACTGCAGTCCCAGTTAAAATGCACCGTATCTTGCACCTTTAAATAATTGCAAGTTGACATTGTGTAGATTATTCCAACATCAGATTGTTTAATGTAATAACCAACTCCAGGGCAGATAGAGCTCACAGAGAGAAACCAACGACATGCTCCTAGCTGTGTCCTAATATTTGGACAGACTCATGTCACTATTCTCAGTTGTTAAGAAAAGCATGAGTTATCACTTTCAGTTCTATATTTGTTTGGAAAAAAAATCAAATTTTATGGGTTTTGAAAAGAGAGATGTTTTGTAAGAGTGGGAATTGCACAAGAGCCTTTTGCAGTTTCTTAAGAGATCCCAGATCACCCAGTCACTCATTCAGCTCAAGAACAAAAGCAGTATAGAGCAGGGTTTCTCAATCTGTGATGAAGGAACTTTTGGGGTTTTTTATTTCAAATCAATCTCAGAATGATATTTTTATAAAACACAAAATCACATGCTTGGATGTTGTGGCAATGTCCAGCTGCCACAAGTTTCTAAACGCTTACTCTGAACTTGGCCCTTTCCATCAATTGGTAGCACAGAGTTTGCAGACCAGGACCAGTCTGCAGAGCCCTGAGCTCTGGGTGGGAGGACCACACGTTCAGAAACATAGCTTTCAGGCTCCGCTTTGCCACAAGCTAAATGAAGAGCCTTTGGGCCGGTCGCTTAACCTCACAGGGTTGCTGTGAGGACCCAAGGAGGTTTTATAAATGAAAGCTTTGTGAACAGTGAAAACTATATTCATATTAGTTATTATTCTTAACCTCTCCAGACCTCAGTTTCAATTTGACTTAAAGAAAGTTGAATGAGGTGTCCTTTATAGCACTTTAAACTTTAAAGATTCTGTACATTGATGCATTGGTTTAAATAAAGCAAGAGGGTGGACAGTGTGTCCCTACACTGCCAAGAGGTTTCTGAGGAACTGGGCATAGAGGGAATTGTGCCTGGGCTGGCCTGTCTCCTCATCTTTGGTTCCTCTCGCTGAGGCCTGTGGTAACCGATAAGAACACGTCAGAACAAAGGCTGCTGTTGGACACTTGCAGGTCCCACGCGGAAGAGAAAGTGAGGCCTGATCAGCAAGTTGGGCACATGGCTCACAGTTACCACGGGAGCAAGAGGTCCCACATCCCCCAGCCCAGTCCCCTCAGGGAGGCCTTCCAGTTCCCTCCAGAGGAAGTTTTCTGTCTTGATTCTGCCTTGTTGCTTGTAAGCTTCTTCCTCAGTTTGCTTCTAAGCTCTTCACCAGTCACATTCTCAGTTGCAGGGAAAAATAGTCTGTTTACACTAGTTAAAAAGTAAGGAGCTTACCAGGTTGCTTCCCCAGTGTCTGGAAAAGCACAAAAACTGAGCTTAAAGACCACAAAACCAGGAAACTACAAAAATGATACCTGGACTGTCACAGCAGAGAACTGTTTCAGTAAAACACCGCAACGCCGTGTTGCCCGGCACCTATGCCATGAGGGACGGTAAGCCAGAAACCCCACTACGGTTACCCCGAAGGACCAGACTCCTCTGCCATGTGCACACCGAAAACACAATCTCCCCAGACACGCCATCTTCACAGTGCTCCAAGTTGTCCAAGATGATCAGCTTCATTTTCATGAGTACCTGCCATACGCCACCACCACCGAGTCTGTGAGTGCCCCAGGGAGAAGGAAGCCATGTAGTTCTAAAAACAGAAAACTAAACCCAAACAGAAAACTCCTCCCATGGCACTATATGTATAGGAGGTAAACAATAACATAGGTTGAGGATTTGGCTGCTGCTATTAATGATGCTTTCCTTATGCTGATTCCACTACCTAGGGATCTTTCCCACATGCTTCACTGATGCTTTGAGATTTATCTCAGATATCACCTCCTCTGGCAGGACTTCCATGACCTCCCCCTTCCCATCTGTGCTTAGTGCCCACAAAGCACTTGTGCTTACCTCCATCACAGCACTTACCATTCTGTTGAAATGAACTGTTGACCGTCTAGGCCCCTTCAGACCATGAACTCCTCAAAGGCAGGGACCATGGTTTGTTCATATCTATGTCACAGAGCCTGATACAGTGCCCGGAATACGGCAGGCACTTCACTTATGTTTTCTGAAATGAAACTATGGTTACTTGATTTTATTTTTAACTATCCTTTGGCTTAAGGTGATTTGGGCCTGAGACTTGTCAGGAGCTCAGCTGGGCTGGGAGAGAGAGCTGAGCTGTCCGTTGTCAGAGCAGCCGATTAAAGCAAAAAGCCAAAAATGACAGTTAAGCCTCTAATCACCTACTGTGATGGTTTAAGCAAGAGTCTGAAACCAGAGAAAATGCTGCCTTCCCCTGTCCCAGTTTCCCCCTGGTGGAGGGTCAGATGGATAAGCACAGATGTAGAGGTCGCCTCCCTGTTGAGGGAGCCCCAAACCAAGAGCTCTGGCAGTCTTATGGGTTCTGGAGTTGAGAGAAGGTGAGAGAAGGACTAGAAGTGGAAAAGGATTGGGTCCTGAGTCAGAGAGGGAAAAGTGTCTTCAAGGTTTCCTCCTCCTCCTCCAGATAAGGAGGTCTCTGCAGAGGCACCTGAAGAGGACCTCTGGCCAAGGCTTCAGATAAAGAGACCCAGGAATGAAGGCATAGGGGCTAGGAATGCAAATGTGCAAAGAGCATGACTGGCCTGGCACCTTGACTGCCCCTCCCTCCAGGGACTGCAGTGCGCAGGCTGTGCACTAAATCTGCTTTGTGGGGGGCAGCTTCCCCTGTGAGGGCTGCCAGGTGGAGCCTTTCTAATTGCCTCTGGTCACCTGAAAAAAAATCACACATAGGTTTTTAACCAGGAGTTGCCCTCCTCAATATTAAAAGTCAAAACACAGAAACAATCAACTAGAAAGCACATACTCTTGCACTGCCGCCTCTCAGGTTTTCCAGGGGAGGGACATAGAGCAGCATTTCCCTCCAGTGACAAATTCCTGAGAGAAGAATCCAAGCCTGCAGATGAACTAAAGTGAAGAAGGAATGCATACTTCTGTGGTAAATTAGGAAAGGCCAGCCAAACTAGGACCTAGAATTTATCTATATGTTGGAAAAGTTGATGCAGTGCTTCTGTAAAAAGCACTAAAAGAAAAACAAAAACACTCCCACAAATGTCAGTGTGTGAGGTTTTTCTTCCCAACACCAGCAACCAATTCTCTGACACCAACTGGGTGACCAACAATTCAATCCAATTCTCACACCAGCTTCCAAGAGTTAGCACAGACTCTACAGGTTAAGGGCTCAGTCCCCCAAGACTGCCTCCACTTCAGGCGCCAGTCGCGAGTCCCAGAGGGCCACCCATACTTCTGACTGAATAGCTATAACCAAGGGGTTCCCAGGACCCCCTCTTCAGGATTGATAATTTGCTGAACAACGCACAGAACTTGGGAAAACACTTAGGTTTACCAATTTATTATAAAGGATACAACTCAGGAACAGGCAACTGGAAGTGAGTGATGAGTAAATGACAAGCAATGGGATATATTGGCATATATGAGGAAGCCATTTGGTTTAAAACTAATTCAGCCTGACCTTGTTTTTCCAGAAAGACCTGACACGGCCCATTGAGCATGCATTGTACCTCTGTTTGAAACATTTACAATATCCCAGAGCCAAGAATGATACCCTTAAAGATAGGTATGTTTCCTCCCCCATATCAGCATTCCTTTAAGGATAAGCATTTCTTACCAGAGTCTAAGGATTAATTACTGACCTGCTTTAACTTACCTCATGACCACTGACGTGCTTGACCACTCACCTTGTGCGTTCTTATGGCTGAACTACTAATAAAATTGACACAAGACCAGATTAACAGAAAGAAAACCCAGTTTAATACATGCACTTTGGAGATCATAAAAAGTGATGCTAAGAGAGTGAACAAAGGGGGCAGTATATATATCTTTTATACAAAGAAATTGTAAATTTGTGAAGAATTGACAAGACAAAGAAACCTAGGTTGGCGGTATGTAAATAGTGAGGACATTAAGCAGAGTTTTGGCTTGAGGTAGTAAATTAGCAAGGTTTGCCTGTGCAGGCTCCTCAGCCCTGAATCCCCAGCTCTGGGGAGAAGGATGCAGGGAGAGCTCCTTTCACATGGGAGATTTATTTCCTGCTTTCAATGGAACTGAGACAGGACACTTTTGCTTCTCGAGTAACTTTCATTCAAAATAATCAATATGCTATTGTGGGACATTTTGGGGTGGCCCAGCCTGGGCCCCAACTGTTCCCTCCTGTGAAACTTTCCCTGGAAGTTTCATATATTAAAAGTTGAGTTGGTAGATTGTTCCGTTATTTCATTGAATTAATCTTTTAGTGTTGAAAAGAGGTCAGTTTAATAAAACAGTTATGTCTTACTTCAGAAGGCAATGCTACAGGTTGGCTCCCAAAGTTAGGCCTGAGGTGCAAGAATTCAGGTATTTAATAAGAGGAATTTCTATGGAAACAAAGAAAAATAATGGTTAATGATTGGAGCAAATTATAAACCAGTCTTTGAGCCTAGAGGGAAGCCAGTCAATATGATTTCTAGATGTCAGGGTTGAAGCATCCTTTGCAGGTAGAAATGTCTCTGATGATGTCATTGGGTGCTCAGGTAAACCTGAGTGGCTTACTCAGCAACAGGCATGAAAGTTGTTTAAACATGGGTTATTGTGGCAATCTCTCTTAAGTTTATATCAAGTTGTTCAGCTTCAGTTTGTAGGGCTTCAGGGAAAGAGAGCAGCTTTAGTTCTTAATGATTCCAAGTCAAAAGTGGGAGAAAAATTGGAAACATTAGTTTAGAGAGTTATAGCCAAATATTTGAGGAAATTAGAAGAATTTAGAATCTAGTCCAGTTTTTAGTAAATGACAAAACTTCAAGGAAAATTAACAGCATTAGAATCTAAAATTCATAAGTATGTATTATAGTTTCTACTGAAACATATTTTTTTCTCCCTAAAATCACTCTCATTTTATCAAAGATAGTCAATTAAGACTAATTTGTTTGCAAAATAATTCTAGTTTCAATAAACTTGGCTTAGTTATTTACATAAGTGCAGCAAGAATAGCCATTGATCATATAGGCTCTTTTAAATTTGTTTTGCTGGAACGTTTTATAAGGAATCTCCAGATTGAACTTTTAATAGCTTCTGAAGGCTAAGAAGCCAAGCCAAATATTCAACCTGCAATACCTATAGATTTGGGTGAATTCCTCTTGTCTTGAGGCTCCCAACATATTTTAAGGTCTTTGCACCTGCCAGGAAGTGACTTTCTTTACTCACCTGGTTAGGCTGTCAGGAAGCCCCTAGGTAAGGTAACCTGCTATTTTTCCAAGGGGCTTTATTGGCTTCACAGAGTCATCGTTAATTCCTGAAAGTTGTTTAGTCATATCTGAGTTTCTGTATGTCTCTCTCAAACATGACATTCCAGTCAAAGCCTTGGTAATATAACCGATGTTTCCAATTGTGTCCTGTTACAGCGAGAACAGATTCTTATAGACTATATGCAAATAAATATATTGTCATGAAAATGAGAATACTCATGGAGAGTTTCCGAATTCTGGAGGGATCAGACAGGGAGTAAAAGTAACTGTTTCAATTCTGCTTACCAAGGTATAATTCACCAAATTGCTGTGTCATAGATAGCTTAAGAGAAAAAAAGATTTCCTTAAATCTGGAAAAACGAAAGATTAAAAAAACTAATATTTTAGATAAAAATTCATAAAAATGATAATTATCCTCATTAGTTCATTTAGTCCCATGGACTTAATTCTCGTTTTGATTGAATCTCGTTTAGCTTACCTTTTTGCCAGTTTCTGTGTCAGAGGTCCCAGGATCTCTTATCTGCAGCAGCCTCAGGGAGAAAGCAGTTTTCTAGCCCATGATTCTCCTGGCTGGCTCGCCAAAACTGTCAGGGAGGGGGAAAATCCCCTTTGTTCCCTTCTTGTGTTCCTATGGCTGGACTAGTAATAAAATTGATACAAGACCAGTTTTTCCATTGGCTCTCTTGGCTTTGTCTAATGATTGAGGGTGATATGAACAGTAATAATTCCAAGAAGTTTGCAAGGTTTTTGTGAAGGCTTGTATAATTTGCCCAGTGAAGTGGAAGCCTCGATCACTGGAGACTGTGAAAGGTATACCCTAAGTGGGAAAAACATTTTCCAACAGTTTTCTTTGCCATTGTGAGGGCATCAGCTTCGTGGCAAAGGAAGGCTTCAACCTATCTGGAAAACATACATACAACAGCAAGAACATATAGACAACTAGATACTGAGTGGCAATTGGATGAAGTTCAGGTGCTGGTGTTCAAAGGACCCAGAGAGAGGAATTCGGAAGCCTCTAGGGACAGAAATAGTTTTTTCTTTAGTAGGTGGAAGAATGTAAAAACTGAAAAATGGGGTTTGCCAAGGAGCCAGGAAGAACCAAGCAGCCATCTTGCGTTCCCCATAGCCAAGACTGTTTATTTAATTTACAGCCATTGTTTACCCATCTTAATTTCTCTGAGTTAGGGCAGACTGTTGCCATGCCATGTTACAAGGACATCAGGATGGCAAAAGTCTGGCAATGAGGGGTCAATTTTTTTTTTTTTCTTTTTAGTAAAAGTTCACTCTCGAAAATAGTCTAGAAAGCAAAGACCTTTGTTGCACAGGCAATAAGGATGGTGTAGTGAAAACAATGTCTCTGGTCTCCCACAGGAGCATGGGACACCTCCAGTCACAGACCCACTAGTCTGTGACACATAGCAGGCACTACTGGAATGGGATTTTTCCAGCACTAACAAGCAACCAAGGCTGAGATGACAAAGCCCCTTATGGACTGGACCCTTTATGACAAACTCCCCTGAGAGCTGGTACAGCTGGACAAAGAGTGCTGCTTGTGACTGCAAGTCTTGGAACCCTAGTCTTTCGACTGGCTGCCAGGTGTACCCTGGTAAATGCACCTTCTGGATGGTGGAGGCCAGAGAAAATATTTTCATTGGCCACAAAGCCAAGCTTTCAGGACACAGAACAAGATGGAAACAAAAACCTCATCCAGTTTTTAAATAGGGAACCTGAAGCAAAGTTTGTCTAAATAGACACCAGTCTTGTGAGAACTATAAAACTCACCAGTCCGTGAGGCTGGCTCAAACAGCAGGCTTGTCAAGGAACTGTACCTGCTGTCCTGCCCTATAGTTCTTCTTCCTTATGACAAACAAGGCGACAGGCAGAGAGTCAAAGGAAAGCAAAGACTTTCCCTGAAAGGAAAGATCAACAAAACCAAGAGTACTCATTACCAGATGCCAAAGTCACTAAAGTCCAAGAGACTACTTTCACAAATATTTTCTCCCACTAATCTAAATTTAGAGGGAGAAAGAGAGACTCACCATTCCTGCTAGACTTTTCAAAAAGAGATCTGGGAGGCTGCCATGATAAGCAGGCTTACCTTTTTGCCAGTTTCTGTGTCAGAGGTCCCAGGATCTCTTATCTGCAGCAGCCTCAGGGAGAAAGCAGTTTTCTAGCCCATGATTCTCCTGGCTGGCTCGCCAAAACTATCAGGGAGGGGGAAAATCCCCTTTGTTCCCTTCTTGTGTTCCTATGACTGGACTAGTAATAAAATTGACACAAGACCAGATTAACAGGAGAAAAATTCAGTTTAATACACATGTATTGGAGATCATAAAGAAATGATACTCAGAGAATGAACAAAGCAGGTAATATATGTATCTTTTATACAAAGAAACTAAATTTGTAAAAAACTGACAGGCAAAGAAACTTAGGTTTGGGGTACATAAATAGTGAGAAATTTAAGCAGAGTTTGGGCTTGAGGCAGTAAATGAACAAAGTTTGTTTCTGCAGACTTCTTGGCTCTGAATTCCCCTGCTCTGGTGATAAGGATGTAGGGAGAGGCCCTATCACATGGCAGATTTATTTCCTGCTTTCAGGGGAAGAGAGAAAGAAGGATCAGAATGCCCTTTGTCCTTTTCAAGTAATGTTAATTCAAAATAATTAATATGCCATTGTGGGATATTTTGGCATGGCCTGCCCTGGGCCCCAACAAAAAACAAAATCTCATGACTGTAGTAAAAGAGATATTCCTGTCACATGTGATGTATGCTCTTTGTTCCAAGATGGTATACAACCGCTCTGTACACCCCTCTTCTTCGGAGAGCTTCCTGGCTTGGTGGGAAAGTTCTCCCAGGATAAGGTCCTCAAACTGGATCATCTAATAAACTCAGCCCAATTTTGAGTTTTAGATTGATTATGGGTTATTTGCATCTCCACAAGGCATAGCGTAAGGTACGGGGTGGGGGTGGGGGATGCACAGAGATTCCGTGCCCTCTCCAGTTGTGTCATCCTCCCAGCATTTTGATGTGTTCACCAGTTCAGTAGCTCTCGAACTCTGTTGTGGGTTTTTCACTACGTGGAGGTCTCATTACATAGGCGTGATTGATTAAATCCTTAGCCATCGGTGATCGAACTCAATCTCCAGCCTTCCTCCTCTGCCCAGAGATGGAGGGGCAGGGCTGAAAGTTCTGCCCCTCTAATCCCATCGTTGGTTTTTCTGGCAACCAGCTCTCATCCTGAGTCATCTCATTAACACACAAAACACACTCTTATCACTCAGGAAATTCTCAGGGTTTTTTAGAGCTCTGTGCCAGGCAGGAACAGGTGACAAAAGCAAATATATTTTTATTATGCCATAGCCAGGGTTGCTGATGGTAGACAGGTTAGGAATAATTAGGAGCCAACTTGCAGCTCCCAGAAACTGCTGTCTTGAACACAACTCTCAGTGGATGGCAGCTATTAGGAGCCATAGTACATATACTCATTGTTTACAATTAGTGTTGATTGGACACTGTATTGATTCCTAGGGCTGCTTGTAACAAATAACCACAAATTTGGTGGCTAAAAACAAACAGGAATTTATTCTCTCACAGTTCTGGAGGACATAAGTCTGAAATCAAGGTACTAGCAGAGTTGTGCTCCCTCTGAAGTCTCTAAGGTAGAATCCTTCCTTGTCACTTCCAGCTTCTGGTGAACTCCATGACTCCAGTCTCTGCCTCCATCTTTATATGGCCTTGTCTTCCCTCTGTGTCTATCCTCTGTGTGTCTCTTTAAGGACATTTGTCATTGGATTTAGGACCCACCCAGACAATCCAGAATGATCTCATCTCAAGATCTTTAATTTAATTACGTCTGCAAAGACTCTTTTGACAAATAAGGTCACGTTCACAGGACATGGATATATCTTGGGGGACCATCATTCAACTTGCTACAGACACGTTCTGCCCTACTCACATAATCTCAAAATGGAGTGCCCAAGGCTTCCCCCTTTACTTTATAAGGGAGGTGCAAGGCTTCCCTTTTAACATTACACATTTCCAAGGCAGGGAAGTTTAGACATAGGTCTGGGTGAAAGCCAGCGAGGAACTAGAGCATGTCTGCAGGAGAAGTGAATGCAGATTCTTCTTCTTTTCTTCCTCTTCTTGACTCTCTTGCTCCAGAATTCCGTGACCAGGAAGGCCCAGGGAACAATGATAAAATTCACAGAAAAGAACCACAGTGCTGGCTGCTGGAGATAAGAACTGCTTAGGCTTTAGGGGAGAAGGCTAGAAGAAATTGAGCTTCCTAAATCCAGCTCAACTAAGAAGAGTGGCAGATCAGGGGCCGGCCCCACGGCCGAATGGTTAATTTCAGTGCACTCCACTTCAGCAGCCCAGGATTTATGGGTTCAGATCTGGGACATGGACCTACACCACTTGTCAGTGGCCATGCTGTGGCAGTGACCCACATACAAAATAGAGGAAGACTGGCACAGATGTTAGCTCAGGGTGAATCATCCTCCACACACACACAAAAAAATGAGTGACAGATCAGATAGAAAGTTGAGCACCTCTCTGGCAGTTGAACAACATTATCTCATAATCCTCATAGCATTACTGCATTTTGTAACTGAGAAAACTGTGGCACAGAGGACTTAAAACAATTTGCCACTACTCACTGGTGGAGATAGGATTTGAAACCAGATCTGTCAGTCTGCAAATTCTCTATTCTTTCTGTCAAGCCCAGCAGGGAAATTGAACAGCATTCAGTGAAAAATGGCCATACTCAGCAGAAGTAGCCATCTATGCTGTTGTAAAGGAAAACTTCCTACCACAAGAATTCTAAAACTGTGGGATAATTGTCTCCCTTTTTCTGAAGATCCTGCAGAACTAAAAAGACCACTTCCCAACTCATCCATTTCTGTCTGTGTCCCCAGCTTTCCTCTGTTCGCCTATGTTTATTAAATACCTACTAGGTGCTATGGACATCCTTTAATTTAATCCACAACAACTACTAAAGTAACTATTATCCCTGCTTTACAGATTCTGTAGCAATAAAAATGAGCAATTTGCCTAACATTACACAGCTACCAAAATTCAGGGCCTTTATTGGGACATAGGTTGTCCAGACACCAAAGCTAATGATGCGATTGAAACTTGGGGGTTATTATTTATTCTTTCTTCTCAATACTGCTCATTTGGCATTTGTATTTATTCTTTAGTCATATCGGAGATCTATCTATATTTAGTCATCATTGACTATTCTAAAAGTTTCTTGCAGGCAGGACATTTGTCTTGTACCACCTTCACTCTTCTGTCAGTCAGTCACAGAAGTTTATAGAGATAAATATCTTCTACATTTCCTATATTTATCTGGGCTGGATATATTCTTTCAGCTCCCAGGATCCATTCTGCACCCTTCTCTACTCTGTGTCCCCGGGAATCTGACCTTCAGCAAATAAGGTTCTTTGAGTTTTGTTTACCAGTTGGGTTTTGCCAGTGGGGAGCTCCAGCAGAAGATTGGAAAGAGGAAGCCCCTAAAGGCTACATGTCATGGATATTTGGAACCTCTCTTTGACAATTTAAACTATGATTACTGGATCCACAAATGAAAGAGGTCTTCCATGTGTCAAAGAAACCACTCTGGATCCTCATAATTAAGACGTAACATGGGTTGGGTAAAGGATTTTGCTACATGCCCAACAAAATGGTTCTTTAACTTTAATTATATTCCCAAGCTCTGTTGTAGAGATTCGGACATAGAGATGAGGACTCTGCTTTTTTAATAAGGATTCCAGGTGTTTCTGATGCTAGTGGTTGTTAGAACTGCTATTTGTGATACAATCAGAACTTGTTGCTCATGTTTATTATTTTTAAGATGATACCCTCGGAATTGTGTCTAAGTTTCTGTTTTCTTGCTCCAATTTTAGTCCACTGACAATTCTTTACTATGTCTGTCCTGTAGAGTCCTCTTTTATACAAGAGAACGGAATTGTTTTCACTTGGCTCCAAAATCAAGGAGAGGATTTTGAGGGAGGACACAGGGTAGCCCTGAAGCCAAGGGAAAAATCTTAACCATGAGCTTGTACGGGAGGAAGAACTATTCCTCTCCCCTCTAGGTTCTTCTGGCTGATCTAAGAATCAAATTAACATGAGACAGAATAAGAGCAGAAAATCAAACAAAGTTTAATAATATGTATACATGGGAGAAATCCAGGATATCTGAGTAATTCACCAAAATGACTGAAGACACCACCTTAAATATCATCTTTAGTTAAAGATAAAGGAAGATGTCAGGGTAATGGTTTGGGACTTCAAAGGGGAGGAAGGCAATTGACATGGAGATGGAAAGCAAATGTTTGATAAGCAAAATGTTTGCTGGGCCATCTACCAACAATGCGACTCAAGAGAGAACTTTGATAAAAATGGGCTCCACAAGGGTCCTCCCAGTTTACCACACCTAGAGTTATCTCTGATGATATCTCCTTCCTGCAACAGGCCTTCTATCTCAAATTCTTTTAGGTGGTTAGAGGAAAGGTCAAAATTTCTTTTTGAGTCTTTTGTTTTTAAAAATAAGCAAGCCAAAGAGACATATTTTGGGATGACAAATTCTGATCTCCACAAGCTCAAGGATGCATCTCTCAAGCATGCACTCCATCAGCCTAGGGTCTGGGCCTTCACATAGCTCCACTTGATCATGAGGTCACCTACTTCCTCACCAGAGTGAGGATCCCCTGGGCTGAGCCCAGGTATAAAGCCCAGAAGGACCACTGTAGGATTTACTCCACTGTCAGGGTAGTGTCTCACATCCCCCTTCAACTTGGATTCCTCCTCTGAACCACAAAACGCAGAAAATTATTTGAGCGACTATTTTCTTAATCCTCCAAAAGATGGTGCATAGCTAACTCTTTCTAGACACATAAGAGAGGTTAACTTTACATACAAAGGATGTCTTTGGCCATTAGGGCTCAATTTTCTCAAGCAATCCTGTTGAGAAAGGAGATGTCCAGAATACAATCCTACCCACTCACCCTGGCCAGGCTTCTGAACTCTTTAGAAGTGAGTCCTAAGAGAGCACTCACCCACCCTGACTCTCAGTGGAAAACTACAACAGTCACATAATTGTCTTAGAAATTCCAACTGAAATCAAAAACTAACAACAGTAATTGGCCCTTAAAAATTTATTTTTAATTTTACAGAGTAATAGATACTAGGCTCCATTTCATATATAAACATAAATAACACAGAAAATAAAAATGAGATGGCTTAAGAAAAATGCCTAGAGCACACTGGAAGCCCCATCCACATCTTCCCTGAGGAAAACATACGCACAAGCAGTGAAGAATGGCTGCATCCCACAAGTTGTGAGAATTAGTATTTTCTGTATCTTTGAGTTCTAAGTCTTTTCCAAGTTTGCTTATGATTTCTTCTGTCATTCTGAATTATTTAAATGCATATTTCTTAAATTTTAAAATGTTTGGGGGAGGATTTTGTAATCTTTTTGTTATTGATTCTGATTTAATTTCATGGTGATCTATATACTATTACTCTGTAAGTTGTGGCTACTTGCTTTATGGCCTACAACATGCTAGATTTTCATAAATGATTCTAGTGTACTTGAAAAATAATGTGTGCATTCTTTATGAGGAAAAATATTGAATGACATCAGCATCACGGCAGAGTGAGCTCCTCCCTCAGACTCTCCCTTCTAAGATACAACTAGAAGGACATTCAACACACAACACAGGAGACGTCTTGGAGACCCACGCAGCCATACACTTGAAGGTGGAAGTGAGGCTGGATCCTCTGGAAGAAGGTGAAGCTGCTCGACAAGAGCTCCATAAAGAGAGAAGACCCACAGCTAGAACAGGGGCACAGCTGGGGAGAGGCACTCAGTTCCTGCCTGGTGCTCCAGCCCTGTGCTCTAGCCCTACATTCACTGGGAGAGTGGCATGGTGAGAGAGGGGCCAGTTAGACAAGCAGCTTAGCTGGGGAGGGGCACTCTGTTCCCACCTGGCATGCCAGCCCCACATTCACCAGGAGAGCAGCATGGTGAGAGAGGGGCCGGTTGGACAAGCAACTCAGCTGGGGAGGGGCGTTAAGGGAGTTCATTGCCACAAGACCCCCACTACAAGAAATCCTCAAGAAGGCCCTCATACCTGAAAGGAAAAAAAGAAAACAGGAAAAGGGCTACAAAGCCCTGAGCAAGGAGATGAGTAGGTGTGCAACAACCAGAAATTGGCAGCTTTCTATCAAATCAGGTTGGTAAACACTTAATTCTTACATCAAGGATGAAGAAAAGGAAAACATCAAAACAAACTCACAACACAAGATGGAATAAGATATGACAAAAATAAGTTAGAAGGGGAAGAAGAAAGGGATAGAATCAGTATTAAGGAAATAAGAGGCAATCAGAAAATGGACTATCTCATCTTTGAGACTTTTATACAAACCTAATGGTAACCACTAAACAAATAATTAGAACAGAGACATATGTGATAAACAAGGAGAAAATGAAGAAAACCAACATAGAAAACTACCTAATTAAATTGGTAGCTCAATATACATGGGACAAGAAACAAAGGATATGCAGAAGAACTGGAAAACATGCAATAAGACGGCAGTTGTCAGCTCTCATATATCAATCATCACTCTAAATGTAAATGTACTGAATTCTCCAATCAAAAGACACAGAGTGGCAGGGTGAATTAAAGAACAAGACCCAAAAATATGCTTCTTCCAGGAAACACATCTCAGCTCTAAAGATAAACATAGGCTCAGACTGAAGGGATGGAAGACAATACTCCAAGCTAATGGCAAACAAAAGGAAGCAGGTGTTGCCATACTTATGTCAGATGAAGTAGACTTCAAGATAAAACAGGTAAAGAGAGACATAGAGGGGCAGTATTTAATGATAAAAGGGACTCTCCAGCCAGAAGACATAACACTTATAAATATATATGTACCCAACACAGGAGCACCAAAGTACATAAAGGAACTATTAGCAAACCTAAAAGGAGATATTACCAACAACACAATAATAGTAGGGGACCTCAACGCCCCACTTACTTCAATGGATAGATCATCCAGACAAAAAGTCAACAAGGAGATAGTGGAATTACATGAAAAACTAGACCAGATGGACTTAATAGATATATACAGAGTGCTCCATCCAAAAACAGCACAGTATGCATTCTTCTCAAGTGCACATGGAACTTCGCGAGGATAAACCATATATTGTGAAACAAGGCAAACCTCAATAAATTTAAGAAGATTGGCATCATATCTACTATCTTCTCTGACCATAATGCTATGAAACTAGAAATCAACTACAAGAAAACAGGGAAAGGAACAAAAATGTGGAGACTAAACAACATGCTACTGAACAACCAATGGGTTGTCAAAGAAATAAAAGGAGAAATAAAAAATATTTGGAGACAAATGAGAATGAAAACACACCATACCAACTCATATGAGATTCAGCAAAAGCAGTCTTAAGAGGGCAATTTATAGCAATACAGGCCCACGTCAACAAACAAGAAAAAGCTCAGATAAACAGTCATAAACTACACCTAACAGAATTAGAAAAAGAACAAAGCCCAGACTCACTAGAAGGAGGGAAATATTAAAAATTAGAGCAGAAATAAATGAAATTGGAACAAAAAAGACTGTAAAAAGTATCAATGAAACAAGGAGCTGGTTCTTTGAGAAGATAAACAAAATTGACAAACCCTTGGCCAGACTCATTAAGAAAAAAAGAGAGAAGGCTCACATAAATAAAATTAGGAATAAAGAGGAGAAATTACAACAGATACCACTGAAATACAAAAGATTATAAGAGAATATTATGAAAAACTAGATGTCAACAAACTGGACAATCTAGAATAAATGGATAATTCTTAGACCCTTCCAACCTCCCAAGACTAAATGAAGAAGAAATAGAGAATCTGAATAAACCAATCCCAAGTAAAGAGATAGAAACAGTTATCAAAAACCTCCCCCAAAATCAAAGTCCCGGACCAGATGGCTTCTCTGGAGAATCCTACCAAACATTCAAAGAAGATTTATTACCCATTCTTCTCAAACTATCCCCAAAAATTGAGGAAGATGGAAATATCCCTAACACATTCTATGAGGCCAACATCACCCTGACACCAAAGCAAGATAAGGACAACACAAAGAAGGAAAATTACAGCCCAATATCACTGATGAACATAGATGCAAAAATCCTGAACAAAATGTTGGTAAAACGAATACAGCAATACGTTAAAAAGATCATACACCATGATCAAGTTGGATTCATACCAGGGACACAAGGATGGTTCAAAATCCACAAATCCATCAATGTGATTCACCACATTAACAAAATGAAGAAGAAAAACCACATGATAACCTCCATAGATGCAGAGAAAGCATTTAACAAGATCCAACATCCATTCATGATAAAAACTCTTAGTAAAATGCGTATAGAAGGAAAGTACCTCAACCTGATAAAGGCCATATATGACTAACCCACAGCCAACATCATACTCAATGGGGAAAAACTGAAAGCCATCCCTCTGAGAAGAGGAACAAGACGAGGATGTCCACTCTCACCACTCTTATTCAACATTGTACTGGAGGTTTTGGCCAGAGCAGTTAAACCAAAAGAAATAAAAGAAATCCAAATAGGCACTGAAGAAGTGAAATTCTCACTCTTTGCAGACGACATGACATTATATACAGAAAACCCTAACGAATCCATCAGAAAACTATTAGAAATAATCAACAGCTACAGCAAAGTTGCATGGTACAAAGTCAACTTACAAAAATCAGTAGCATTTCTATACTCAGATACTGAATTAACAGAACAAGAACTCAAGAATACAATTCTATTTACAATCACAACAAAAAGAATAAAATATCTTGGAATAAATTTAACCAAGGAGGTGAAAGACCTATACATAGGGAACTATAAGACATTACTGAAAGAAATCGATAATGACATAAAGAAATGGAAAGATATTCCATGCTCATGGATTGGAAGAATGAACATAGTTAAAATGTCCATACAACCTAAAGCAATCTGCAGATTCAGTGCAATCCCAATCAGAATCCCAAGGACATTCTTCACAGAAATAGAACAAAGAATCTTAAAATTCATCTGGGGCAACAAAAGACCCCAAATAGGCAAAGCAAGACTGAAAAACAAGAACAAAGCTGGTGGCATTGCAATCTCTGACTTCAAAATATATTACGAAGCTATAGTAATCAAAACAGCATGGTACTGGTACAAGAACAGACACACAGATCAGTGAAACAGAATTGAAAGCCCAGAAATAAAACCACGCATCTAAGGACAGCTAATCTTCGACAAAGGAGCCAAGAACATACACTGGAGTAAGGAAAGTCTCTTTAATAAATGGTGCTGGGAAAACCAGACAGCCACATGCAAAAGGATGAAAGTAGACCGTTATCTGTCCCCATGTACAAAAATAGACTCAAAATGGACCAAAGACTTGAAAGTAGACCTGAAACCATAAAACTTCTGGAATAGAATATAGGCAGTACACTCTTTGACATCAGACTTAAAAGGATCTTTTTGAATACCATGTCTACTCAAACAAGGGAAACAAAAGAAAAAATAAACAAGTGGGACTTCATCAGACTAAAGAGCTTCTGGCAGGCAAAGGAAGCCAAGATCAAAATGAAAAAACAACCCACCAACTTGGAGAAAATATTTGCAAATCATACATCTGATAGGGCGTTAATCTCCATAATATATAAAGAGCTCACACAAATGAACTACAAAAAAACAAACAACTCAATCAAAAAGTGGGCAGAAGATATAAACAGATATTTTTCCAAAGAAGACATAGAGATGGCCAATAGGTGCATGAAAAGATGCTCATCATTAATCATCAGGAAAATGCAAGTCAAAACTATACTTACATACCATCTTACACCCGTTAGAATGGCTGTAATCACCAAAACAAAAAACAATAAATGTTGGAGAGATTTTGGATAAAAGGGAACCTTCATCCGCTGTTGGTGGGAATGCAAACTGGTGCAGCCACTGTGGAAAACAGTATGGAGATTTCTCAAAAAATTAAAAATAGCAATACCATATGACTCAGCTGTCTCACTATTGGGTATTTACCCAAAGAACTGGAAATCAACAATTCAAAGAGACTTCTGCACCCTTAACTTCATTGCAGCATTATTTACAATAGCCAAAATGTGGAAGCAACCCAAGCGCCCATTGACTGATGATTGGATAAAGATGATGTAGTATATATATACAATGGAATACTGCTCAGCCATAAAAAAGACAAAATCGTCCCATTCGCAACTGCATGGATGAACCTTGGGGCATCATGCTAAGCGAAGTAAGCCAGACAGAGAAAGACAAACACCATATGATTTCACTTATGTGTGGAATATAAACAAACTTAAGAACAAAGAGAATAAATGAGTGGTTACTGAGGGAAGGAGGGTGGAGGGTAGGCACAAGGGGTGAAGGGGCATACTTATATGGTGTATGACAAACAATAGCGTATAACCAAAATCTCTCTCTGTTTTAAGCTGTTATGACCACAATATAATAAATTAATGAGAAAGAAATAAAAAGTAAAAACAAAGTAAAATATTTTTGTTGCTGGCTGTGCCAATGGGAGGAGCATCTAAAACTCCTCTACTAAAAATAGTCCCTTCCTGTTTTTAGTCCAAACTGAAAAGAAATTCTTTTTGTGCAGCACCTCGCCTTTCCTGGACTCCTTCAAACAGCTCCCTGTCCGCTATCCTTCACTGTGCTTCCTATGAACTTGTTCAGGTCTAACATCATCCAAGCTGTATCACTAGTAGTTGTTCCAGTGAAAGTCAGAGACACTTGGTCCTTTTCCCCTTATGCTAATTGTTTCTAACTTTATACTTCTTTATTGAATGAGTAGCACATCTTTATTGTAGATAATTTTGAAATCACAGATAGACCAAAACAAAAATAAGGAACACTCATGCTTCCATATATGTTTCTTTATATAGGAAAACCACTCATAGTATTTTATATACATTTCTATACCTTTTCCTATGCATATACATGTAATTACTTTACATAAATGCATAATATGCATAATACTCTGAATTCCTGTTATTATAGTTTATCTAGCTCTCAAAGGTTCAGAGATAATCCCACTTTCACAGCCAATATTGCACTAATTATTTGGCAGATGTATGTTCCCATGCTAATTTCTTTTCCCTGATGTCTTAACATGACCTCAACTCATGATGCTGCCTCAGCATGCGCTGCTTGCTCCTATTCCAAAATGCGTTCTCATCAGATGCTTATTGGTCTAAGACCTGCCCCTGTTTCTACATCTCAGCTTTCCAATAACCACAGCAATGGGAATTTTTAAATCTGTGAAATCACATAGAGTAAGGTTCTGAAGAATCAGAGCAGGAAATTAAGCCCATGTTGCTCAGACCATTGTCTGAACCAGATAGCTTCCCACTCTAGCTCCTTCCTTCTGTTCTGATTTCAGGATCTCAAGACGAATATTTAGCACACCCATCTGGAGCAAATTTATCAATCATGACAACAGAAGTATTTTAGTTTGCAAGAATTTCATATTTCTTATTATAAGTGAATGCATTGTAGCTTATATATTCACCTCCTATTTTAAATTGAACCAGTCCTCAAGAGATTGGTTATCTCTTATTAGCTGACAATAAACTTCCTGCACTATCAAAACTGAGGGCCATGGTGACATCACCTAGGCAATTTCACCACGGGTAGTAGCCTATCTGGGCTCCCAGCCACCAGGTTCTTTAAAATACGTTGTGTCACCCTGCCTACAGCAATTCCTGCTGTGTTCCACTCGTAATGAAACAAAAGTTTTCCCTCATCCTTGTATTATCATATACTACTTTGTTCCTTACATATCATTCAAATAGGTCAATGAGTTTCAAATAGCTTTTAGCAGTACAACTTTTTAAATTAAATAAGTATGGAATCCCAGTGCCTTTGAGTTGAACTGTGTGGACAGAGGAACTTTAAAACCCTTCCCCCGCCTGCCTTCTTTCTTTCTTCTAATAGCATTTACTCACTTTAAGAATCAGCTCCAGTTTCACCTCAACCAGAAAGATTTCTTTGATGTGCCTCACCCAAGCTATATGCTTCCTTCTTTGAATTCCCCAAATGCCCTGTGTTTGTCAATCACAGCACTTACCACACCGTATTATAATTACATGCTTATGCCTTGACTGCCTTAAGACTGTGAGCTCACTGACAGCAGAGATTTTGTCTTATTCTTCTTTGTAATTCCCAATGCCTAGCAAAGTTCCTGATACATATGTTTCTTTATGAATGAGTGAATGTCCAAAGCACTAGTCAAACTTGTAGGTCAAAGACAGCTGTATCACTTTATATTTATTTCCACATTGAATATGGATGCTTTCATATTTGGTTGTGCAAACCTGCCCATCTGACAGCATAATTACAGTTACAAAAATAATAATAGGTAATATTTTTGAGTACGTACCATGATAAGTAGCTTTATACCCATTAGCTTATTTAATCCTCAAAACAATGCTACAAGGTAACTATTGTTATTTTAAATTTTCAAATAAAGAAACTGATTTCAGACCCACACTTATGCCATGTTGCATATATTGACTAGCTCACCGCAGGCAAACATATTTTCTGTGTCACCTATGGCACCCAGCCCCTCGGATCAAACCTAACCCCAAAGCCCAGGTACACTGTGGTAGTCTGCAGCTCTCCCCATCTCTTGTTCCAGCTCTTCCTCTTTTCAGTGACTGTACACTTCTGTGTCCATGAAAGTTGTCTCATTCAGCCTCAAAAAATTCTATGACTTAAGAAATTAAGCTATGAAGGAGAGAAGAGAAATATAGCCATTGCTAGAAGGGAAAATAAGATGAATGGTTTTGTTTGTTTCATTTTTAACAATAAATTTCAGCAGGTTTATTTGTTTTGCAAAAGGAAAGAGTAAAGAGAGAGGCCAAAGACAGAGAAGAGAGAATAAACACTTGATAGTATTAGGTTGAATTAGGAGTAAAAAGGGGAAAGAAGATAGGTGGACCAGAGACGGTAGAGACATTGATCTTAGATGATGCGAGGAAGAATTCCTCCTCTATCGTAACAGGCTGGAACAAAGAGATGGGTGGAAATCCAGGTACTTGTGTAAGGTTGCTAGAGGGAAGATGAGGGAGTTCTCACATTATGACTTCTACTTTCTCTTTGTAGTAGGAGGTGGGCCATCTGCTCAGAAGAAGTGAAATAATAAGAGAAATCTGAAAGAGAGTGAAGAGAGTTTGAAGTAGTCTTTGTGGAAGGGAGAAAGAAACTGACCAAAGAAACACAATAACATGGTCAGGTAGAGCTGAGGGTCCGTTGGAGGTTGAGGCTTATGAATGCTTAATGGCACCAAACTTTTCTGCTGGTTGGTTTTCTCCATTAGAGCTCTGATAGTGGAGTGGAGGCACAGACAAAACAGATAGCTAGATTCATCCTGTTATTTGTCAACTGGATTAAACTGGTAATTGTGATGCCATTAAGAATGGCTTCGGTAGGTCCACCGTGATGCAAGCCGGTCCTGTTGAAACTTCAGCAACTCAATGATACCATTTCAGTCCTTTTCAAAGCAAAGCATGCAATGCAAAGAAGTTAGTTTAGAAAAGTGAGAATGTAAAAGAGAACCATAGCAAACTGTCACCAGATTAAACATCACAGATCTGAAGACTTAATGACTTTGACATGTATATTTTAACTCTTATGGAGATATGTGTGCTTTCATTTATCGATGTTATGTAAAATCTAAAACTATCTTACTCACCACCATATCTCCAGTGCCTAGCACAGTAGCTGACACATGTTAAATGTATAGTGAGTGTTTAGTGAGTGAATGTTACAATATGACTTGCTACTGAGATAGTAAAAGCATTCATGGAAACCATGGTCTCGGATAAGATGACTCGATATCACAAGGATATTAATTCTCCCTAAAGGAACTTATAAAATTAACACAATCTCAATAAAATACCAACAAAAGTTTTATGGAGTTAGATAAGTTTTTACTAAAGTTCATATGAAAAAATAAACATGTAAGAATAGAGAAGAAAACCTGAAGAGAAACAAAAACAAAGGGGACTAGCTCAATTAAACATTAAAATATATTATAAAGCCTCTGTAATTAAAAGTGTGGTCACTGGAACACGAATAGATAGACAAATGGAATAGAATCAACCCAAGTACTTATGAAAATTAATGTATGATAAAGATGATGTCTCAAATCATTTGGAACATAGATGGACTTTTGTAATAAATGATGCTGAGACAACTCCTTAGCCATTGGAAAATATTAAAATCATATCCATGACTAATGCTGTACATAAGAGTAAACTTCAAATGAATCAGGAAAATAAAAGTAAAACAGGAAGCCACACAAGTATCAGAATAAAATATGAGTAAACTCTTCTTTAGCATTATAGGGAAAAGCTTTGAAATTATCAGAATTATTAAACTGTCAAAATCCAAAGCCAATAAAATTTAAGATTTATAGATGTGACTGTGCAAAATTACAAAATTTTGCACAGCAAAAAAGGTCACCATTAAACAAAGCCAAAAAACAGGTGCAAACTGGGAAAAAATATTTGTAACATGTATCATAGATAAAGACCTAATATCCTGAATATACAAAGAACTCTCAAAATTTGAGGAACATATTATGGAAAACCTGATAGAAAAATGAGAAAAAGACATGAACAGAAAATTCACAAAAAGATACAAAAATGGCTCTTAAATAAGTAAAAAGATGTTCAAACTCATTCATAGAGATATGTGAGTTAAAGCAATACTGAGATACCAATTTTCACCTATCAGATTGGCACACATGCCGTCGGCAGGCTTTGTGGAAGCAGGCACTCTCTTCTTTGGTGGCGGAAATACAAACTGGTGCATCCTTTTGGAGAAGAATTTGGCAAACAAGTTAGTATAACAAAATGACACACGTACTTACCTTTTGACCCAGCATTTCGACTTCTAGGAATTTACTCTGAAGACAACAATACGAAAATACATATGCACATTGCAGCATTATTTGTAATTGAAAAATATTGGAAACATTAAATATCCATACACTGGAAGCTGTTCAATAAACTGTGGTAATCCAGAAAATTCTGTAAGAAATAATAGTCTCTAGGAACTGCTGTAGATATATTTTTAAGTGAAAAAAGCAAAATGTGAGAGAGTATTTAGTACAATAACTTTGAGTAAAAAAGAAGGAAAAATAAAATATCCGTATATCAGCTTATTTGTGAAAAAGAAACAGGAAGGATAAACCAAAACCTAATAAGATGAGTTATCTAGAGTGGGTGGATGGGAATGGGGTGTAAAGAATGTGGGAATTGGAGCAAGGTAGAATGAATGGGAGGGGAGGTGTGACACTTCTCCGAGTATAACTTTCTGTGTTCTGAAATTTAAAACCATGTTAATGTTTCACCTACTCTGAAAATATGTATAATTTAAATCAACCAGGACTGAGGAGGGAAGACAGACTAAAACTCGAAGAACAATAGTAACAAGCGAATTTAAATGTATTACAAATAAATGGCATAACCTCACTGAAGGGGTTGGAAAGAAAAAACATGGACAAATGAGAGAGGGGGACAAGGAGGGGGGGAAGGAGGTGGGGAGGAAGGAAGGAACAATGTTCACCAATATCTTGCATATGTACAAAAATTAATTCAAAATGAATCATAGACCTAAAAGTAAAACCTAAATGTGTAAAACTTCTAGATGAAAACATTGGACTTCATCAAAATTAAGACTTTGTGCTTTTTTAAAAGCACTGTGAAAAAGAATGAAAAGATGGGGTCGGCCCGGTGGTGCAGCAGTTAAATTTGCATGCTTCGCTTCAGCGGCCCGGGGTTTGCTGGTTCAGATCCCAGGTACGGACCTATGTACCACTTGTCAAGCCATGCTGTGGCAGCGTCCCACATACAAAATAGAGGAAGATTGGCACAGATGTTAGCTCAGTAAAAACCTTCCTCAAGCAAAAAGAGGATTGGCAACAGATGTTAGCTCAGAACCAATCTTCCCCACCAAAAAAAAAAAAAAAAAAACTCTATCCATTTGTGCATATACCAACATATATGTAATATACACAGTAAAACAAATTCAGTTATGATACAATAGGCAATTGATTCCCATCTTCCCCACAGCCACATTTTCTTTTCATTAACCTTGCAAAAGCATGTCTCTTCTACTAAACTAATTTTTGGACTCTGCTCATAGCATTATGTTGGGGTGCGTGTTTTTGCTGAGTTATGCAGGGATTTTACCACATACATGCATTTTATCTTAATGTTATCAATGCAATTTGGCCCTCCCTGCAGTTTTTACTGAGTGAAAGCCAAGCTGATGTGGAAAGTATGCTTCTCTTCCACAATCCATGGCCCATACTGTTCTCTGGCATCAGAACAATGCTGTAATGGCCTCAGGTCTCACCAACGCCTTCCTGAAATCTGCTTCTTCTGCCACTGCCTGAAGCCCCTTTCTCTTTCAAGAGCTCAAACCAAGTTAACAAGGCAGGCAAGTTATGGAAGAGACATCATCTTTTCTCCCCATCCCTTCTTCCTTCTCCCCACTCTGCTTTTCCCCCAAGTGCCCACAAACAAACTTACTTCTTGAGTGTCCTGCCTCGGTACAAACCAACACAGGCAGATGGATACATGTGGACTCATGTATTCATCAGACATCTCCAAACAAGAATCCCAGTTTAGCTTGGCCAAAGATCCCACACTACCTAAGTGCAGTCAATAAGATCATTCCCCAGAAGATGAACAATGAGAGGATGGGCTTCATTACTGTTAATAGATTGCCCCTGAGTCATTTGTTGTTCATAGCCAATTTTTAAAAACATAACTCGTTGTTCAAGAGGAGTTGTCAGGATGTAGAAAATGATTGCTCAATTTATTTGGCAATCAAAATGGCCACTATTTTGTGCAACTTGGCTTCTGTTGTGTAATTCTTGTTGACATAGTGTTGCAGCCGAGTTGCTTGGTAGCAAATGATGAACAGGACACCTGCAAGTGCATTAAATGGTCATCAACCACAGCAAAGAATCAATCTGCACTGTGCTGTGAAGAACACAGCTTGAGAAATACCTCTTGTGTCACTGGTGAGGAAGAAGAAGAAGCAGAAAGAAACAACAGTCCTGCTAATGGAAACACTGAGGGGCAAGATGTCCCCCAGGTTGCAGAATCCACCTGAGGATACAGAAGCAGCTTGATTCCTGAATTTGGGGTCCTGAATCTACTAAACTGAGTGAAAGATTCCCCTCTAAGTTTTTACATTATGACTTCTCCACTCTTCGGGCCTAAATTTTGACTTGTCACTCAGTCAGTTGAAGGATATCAAAGTAATTCTTTCAAAAACGATTCTATTTTTTGAGTCCTTGAAAATATGTTACCCTGACACATGAACTAAAATTAACTCTGTGCAAAATTTCATGGTCACAACCTTCTCCCTCAAAAAGTCTGTAGATGATTCTCCATTGTCAAAATCCAACTGATTTTTAATACTTTGCAGGTAATATTTTCCATTTTCCTTCCATTGAAATGTTCACAGTTTGGGGGGTTTGTTTGTTTTGTAGCTGTTTTGTTTACGTATTAATTCCGTACCTACTATTTTCTTAATAGCTGGTATGCTATTACCCCAAGGGAGAGACCCACATTGTTGAGAGAAGGCTTTGATAATCTTGGAAGATGAAGGTTTAGCCCCCAGGGCCAATGGACTGACAGATTTAAGCTTGGGAGAATTTGTGCCTAAGAAAAAGAATGTGCTGGCTGCTGAGAGAGGGGAGGGGAGAGGTGGCCAGAGCTTAGGTATTGGTGGCAGCTTGGAAAGCGAGATTCTGGAAATGTAAAAAGCCAGCTAGGAAGCCAATGAACAAATACTCATTAAAACCAAGCTCTTTTTTTTTTTTTTAAACAAAAGGTTTGCTGAAGGGATTGTGGGGTTTTTTGCCACATTTATTTTACTTCTGTCCATATATACATTTATTTTTACCAGACCATTTGAAAGTAAGTTGCAGATACCATAACACTTCACCACAGCATGTATGTCCCCTAAAAACTGGGACATCCTTCTGAATATTGTCAGCGTTGACTATAGTGGAGCCATTTTAAAATGGAGTCGAAGCTGCCTTTCCAGAGAAATTGCCTTCCTGTCTTAAATCTTGGACTGGGCCAAACCATTGGACTGGGCCCAAACAGCAATTGTTTTACAGGCAATTGTTTGCGAAGTCAGCAGGAGAATGGACATCCTGATCACAAAGACAGGATTGCAGATTTTCTGAAGATGGAATCAATAATCAATCAATGTTTAGCCAAGATTATCTCTCTGCCTCCAACTCCAACTAAAATTCTTTGTAATACAAACTTCCTTTCTTTGCCTTGAAAAGCCCCTGACTTTCACTTCCTAGTGGGACACTATTTGAGTTTCTACCTGAATCTGTGCTCCCAAATTGCAATTCTTTAATCTTAAATAAACATTTTGCATCTTAAACTGTTTTCTGTTTTTGAAGGTTGACAATATTCACAATACTATTTTCACAACCAACAAATTTTAAAAATATACAATACCATCATATACAGTACTTATTTACTTAAATTTCTCAAAATATTCTCCCCCAAAATACCTTTTGTAGATACACCCCTACACACACATACCCCATTCAGGATCCAATTACAGGATCCGATTACAGATCACTCATTGTTTTTAGCTGTCATGTCTCTTCAGTTGACTTTAACTAGCAGAGTACTTCCTTCATTTTTTTTCTGGGAGGTGGATGGGTTTTTTGGGAGGAGGGGACGTCTACTAGGAAACTGACATTTAAAAAAATAATATAGTCCAGTAGTCTTACAGAATGTCCCATGATCTGGATTTGTTAATTCCTACAAACATAGGTTCCCTACTCGCCACACAAGAGGGACAAAATAAAAACTAGAATGCTAGGCTTATGGCAAAGAAAGGGTTTTACTTATTTGATATCAGCCAGGAGATGAGAGGGATCTCTCAAATTTGTCTTGTTTCATCTCGTCTCCCCGAAAGATGGGAGGCGAGAGGTTTTAAATGTTTGTGAGGAATGTGACTATTTGTGGGGGAAGGGGGGAGTCAGTGGCCTTGCTGGTCAGAGCTTTCCTACCAGCCTGTATTCAGCCTTGAGAGGCTGTTTGCAGGGAGGGGGAGATGATAAGGAATGCAGGTGGCTGTCCTTGGCCGTCTGTCTCCATGGCAGGTAGTGGATTCTGGAGCCAGGAAGCCAGGGAGTAAGCAGGGAAAGAGTACTTTGGTTTTAACCCCATATTTGCTGGATTTAATATGGGGGAACTCATATCAGGGCCAGCATCAGATTTACCAGATTCAGGAATGGCTCCATAATTTGTGAGGCCCAGTGCAAAATGAAAATGCAGGATCCTTTGTTCAGAAATTAGTAAGAATTTCAAGACAGTGACAACAGAGCATTAAACCAAGCATGGGGCCCTTCTAAGGGGGGCTATATTCTTAGGCTGAATTCTAAAGTCTTTTGTGCCTCTCACCTTTACCTTCCTTTTCATTTTTATCTTTTCCTTCTATTTTTGGGAAGGTCTCATCAATTTGTCCTTCAAATTACTGACTTCATTTTCAACAGTGCCAAATTCTGCTCTTTACTATTAGCCTGAAATGGCTAATAGTAATGAAAATGTCAATTCTACTATGAAATTTTTGTCTTTTTTTTTTTTTTTTTTGGAAGATTTGCCCTGGGCTAACATCCACCGCCAATCCTCCTCTTTTTGCTGAGGAAGACTGACCCTAAGCTAACATCTGTGCCCATCTTCCTCTACTTTATATGTATGATGCCTGTCACAGCATGCCTTGCTAAGTGGTGTCATGTCTGTGCCCAAGATCCGAACTGGC